CTTGCCACGGAGGCAATCAGTTCTGCTGCTCGGGGAGCGGTCGGGGGAAATCTCCGCCAGCACCGGAGATGGTAACATATTGTTGGTGCAATTCTTGATTCTTGGGATTCTTTCGGGAGCATCTGGAACCCCCTTGGGCGGCCTCCTGTGCCGTCTTGTGGCCTTCTTCGGTTGTCTCAGGGCCATCCTGGGGGCCACTTGGGCTGACTCGAAAGGCGATTTGGGGGGCCTCTTGGGGCGTCTTGAGCGGTCGGACGCCTGAAAAGGCGGAAACGCCAATATCTTCCAAAACCTTCAGCATAATCATTGATTAGCGCCCCTTGTGGCCCTCGTGGGGTCCTCTTGGAGCTCTCTTGGGGCCCTCGTGGGCTGTTACCTCTAGGGCCGTCTTTAAAGCTAGTTTGGGTCGTCTTGGCGCTCTCTTGGCCTGAGGCCGTGGGGCTTGCCCCACGTTTCGCGTCTCCCTGGGGCGCTCCCAGGGCGCTCTTGAGGGCTCACAGGGCCGTGTTCAGGAGTCCCCGCATCCGTGGCCCCGAGTCTGCCGGGGTAGTTTTCGTCCGGGGGCCCCCAGGGGCCGCCGCGCGCGCGTGTGAGTTTGACGCATTCTGGATTTGTTACCAGAATTTTAGTACGCCTCTCGTTGGCGGCGAGTTTATAAAAGGAAACGGGAAAGAGGAGGAGGGGGAAGAGGAGGAGGAGGAGGGGGAGGAGGAGGGGGAGGAGGAGGAGGAGGAGAAGCAGGAGCAGGAGCAGGAGCAGGAGGAGGAGGAGGAGGAGGAGGAGGAGGAGGAGGAGGAGGAGGAGGAGGAGGAGGAGGGAGGAGGGAGGGAGGAGGGAGGAGGAGGAGGAGGAGGAGGAGGAGAGACGAGGAGGAGAGGAGGAGGGAGGAGGAGGAGGAGGAGGAGGAGGAGGAGGACGAGGAGGAGGAGGAGGACGAGGAGGAGGATGAGGAGGAGGAGGAGGAGGAGGAAGCAGAGGACCTGTTGCCGCTACTCGCTACTCCTTGCCGCGCTGTCGCCGTCCGCCACTCCATCCTGTTTTCTCTACCTGGCATTGCTCGGGCTTCCAGTTTTGGGCCCGAAATGCCAGGAGAAGGGAATGTTCGTCGGCGTCCCACCCTCTACCCTGCCGCTTCTCTAGAACCCTGTTCTGGCGTCCAGACCCTACCCAAATGCCGCAAAGAGAAAAAGGAGCGAGAGGGAGAGAGAGGTATATATATATATATATTATTATCCGATATCGGAGGATGACAAAGATGGGGATAAGGGTGGGGAGGAAGAGGCTCGGGAAACGCCAACCTTACTCGTGCGCTGATCCTGGCCGGGTCCCTCCTGGTGCCAGGATCGGTAAATGCGCTTTTTGTTGCTTGGCCAGGAAGTCGTGCACCCAGACCTCCCACGTCGTGATCTCTCGGGACGGTCGATGCACGGAGAGAACGGACACAAAGACCGACAGCAGTTCCTCTACGTGTTGAAGTGGACTCGCTGTCGGTGTCGCCGCGGACGTGGTTCATTTGGGGCAGGAGGTCGCCTGCCCAACAGCGGCCGCTGCCGGCTTTGGACAACGCTTGCTGGTGGGCATCCCACCCACTTTTCCGTACCCATTACGGGCGTCCAGCACTTCGCAGAGCGTGTGATGGGACTGTTTTCCACCACCACCACCATAAGTTGGACGGGGGGGTCCTCCTCAAACCTCTTTCTCCTCCTCCTCCTCCTCCTCCTCCTCCTCCTCATCCTCCATCTCCTTCCCCCCTCCAACTTGTGGTGGTGGTGGTGGTGGTGGAAAACGGGCCCATCAGCGTGGACCCCCTGGAGGTCTCGATCCTTTCCCCTGGACGGGTTCCCCGCCCCGAGTGGTGCCTCCGGCGGTCCCCGGTGCCCGGAGCGGCCAGAAAGGCTTCCCCGGGGGCCGAGAACAGCCAGATGCCCGACGTTATGACTGCTGACGACGCCAGGAGGCGCGGGAGCACCGTTCCTGCCGGGTGCTGCTAGAAGTGCCCCTGGGCCCCAGGGCCTCCAGAGAGCCCCCCACGAGGCCCACGGGCCCCAGGGGCTCCAAAATGGAGCGACAAGCTGGGAGTGGAGTGCCTCAGGCCAGGGGCAACTTTGTGGCGGGGTTGGAGCGAGGATAACTAAATCCGTTCCAGAGCCTGCTCTTGGAGCCATCTTGGAGGACATCGGCCCAAAACGAGGGGTTCTTCAATTAGCGCTGCCCCTCAGGAGTTTCAAATATCGCCTCCTGGACCCCCCTTGGAGCGCTCTTGGGGCGCTCTTGGGCGCTCTCGGGTCCGTCGTGGGGCTCTCTTGGGCCTCTCTTGGGGCTCTCTTGCGCCATCTTGGAGCCATCTTGAGGCCTCGGAAGGCTATCGAAAGCGAACGGGCGACGATGCAAACATCATCGGTGTTCCTTACATGTTTGAAGGATTTTGGCCTCTTGGAGGCCTCCTTGGAGGTCTTGGAGGCCTCTTAGAGCCGTCTTGGGGCGGTCTTCGGGTCTTTTTGGAGCATCTTCGGAGTCATTTTGAGGCATCTTAGGCTATCTTGAGCCATCTTGGAGCTCATCTTGGGCTCTCCGAGGCGCTCTTGGAGCCGTCTTGGGCCACCTTGAACGCTCCAACTACCAGCTTCCCCCCCGCCCAGGTGCAGGGGAGGGGATCGGGGGAGGGGTCAAGCTACCCACCCGCCCGCAAACCGTCCAGCTTAATCCCACTCGCCCTCCCAACACATACGTAACACCCGAGCCTGAGCATGTTCAGCGGTCGTCTTTGGATGGACAGCTACTGGGAACCCACGCCGACCCCAGGTGCGCGACGCTTTGGCGAGGTGCGCCACGCGTGCCATGCACCCCTGGGGCCCGAGCGTGCCAGGCACGCCTGGTGCGCCAGATGCGCCACGTGCTCCGAGTGCGCCAGGTGCGCCGCACACTCCAGCCGCGCCAGGTGCGCCTCGTTCGGGGCACGTGCAGAGTGCGTCGGGTGCGCCTGCGCACGTGACAGCGCACATCGGGCAACATGTCGGCCCCCACCATCCTTCTCGAAAACCAATGCCCATCATTGTGTCTGGTGGGCCTGCGCACAGCAGGCCACGCGCCACCAACCCCGCGGCCCCTGTCAAAAATCATTTGACAGTGATCGCCGGATGGCCGCGCATGATCCAGATTTAGCCGCGAGGTGCATGTTGTATTGTTTCTTGTTAGGGATGGTAGCCCTGCGCGCAGTAGGGAATGTGCTGACACCCCCACCGTCCCCGTCAAAAACAATACAAGTGCTCGCGGGCCTCACGAACATGACTCAAGATTTTGCCCCAAAGTGGACTTTGTGCTGTTTTTTGACAGGGATGGTGGGGGGGGCCGCATCGGGTTGGCCGCGCATGCTCCAAATGTGGAGGCAGAGTGCGGCTTATATCGTTATTCAATCGCTTCGCTCATTCCGCCGGCCCATTTTGCATGATCGCTATTGCTTCGCCGTGGGCTAGGGGCCATTGTGGCGCCGCCGAGGAGGAGGAATATGAGGATGGGGAAGGAGAGGGGAGGAGGAGGAGAGGATGAGCAGGAGAGGAGGAGGATGAAGATAAGTAGGAGGAGGAAGAGGAGGAGGGGGCGGAGGAGGAAGCCAATCGTTGGCATCTTGTGTTGCTCTTGGGGCCAAACAGGGTCGTCGTCAAGATGCTTCTTTGGGAGGCCTCTTGGGGTCTTTTGAGAAGCCGTTCGGGGGCGCCTGGGAGGCATTTTTGAAGCCTTCCGGGGCCTCTTTTGGGCCTCCTGGGGGCCTCCTGGGGCCTCTTGGGGGCCTCTTGGCGGCATCTTGGGGTATCTCGGGGCCTCCTGGGGCCCTCTTGGGGCGGAAGGCTAGAGTTTTCGGTTCGTGGTCCCCATCTTGGGCCCCTCTTGGGGCCGTTTGGGGGCTTTCTTGGGCCGTCTTGAGCGCCTCTTGGGCCGTCTCGGGGCCCTCTTGCGCCCTCTTGGGGCCCTCTTGGAAGCCTCTTGGCCCGTCTTGGGGCGCTCTTGGGGGCCTCTTGGGCCGCCTTGGAGCATCGGAAATCCGAAAAGGCGACCAGGCCAAAATCCATCCAAAACCATCGTACAATTTATGATTTTGGCCTCTCGGGGCCCTCTTGTGAGGCCTCTGGGAGGCCACTTGGAGGCCTCTTGGGCCGTCTTGGGGTCATCTTCGGCGTCTTGGAAGGCTCTTTGGGCGTCTCGGGGGCCTCTCTGGGCAGTCTTGGGGGCCTCTTGGGGCCCTCTTGGCGCGCTCTGGGCGGCCTCAGAGACCCCACCCAGGAGGAAAACCATCTCTGACAAAGGGTGGCCGGGCGGCGGGCGGGATACTTTTGGCCGGGGCACCCCCAGGGGCCGCCCCGCGCGCGCGAACTAGAATATTGTTCACCAGTTACCGGAGATCTTAGCACGCCTCTGGCCCGTTGGGCCGGCGAATTTGACAGGGATGGTGGGGGGCGGGTCGTCATGGTGTCCTCATGGTTCCTGGTTGGACGCCGGTCGCCTGGGGAGGGGCTGTATTAATAAGGAACAGTGATAAACCATAAACCCCTCCCCGAAGGGGAAGAAGGGGGTTGGAAGAGGAGCCTCCCTATTGGACCACCTGATACGCCCTTAAGGGCTGGTGGGATTTTCGAAGGTTGCTGGCCTCGGGGGCGCGAACATGGTGTAATTTACGAGGGATGGCCTCGGGGGCGCCAGCGTGATGTAATTTACTAGGGATGGTGGCCCCAGAGGCGCGAATGTAGGATAATTTGCACGAGGTCGTGGCCTGGTGGCGCGAATTTGGTGTATCTTACAAAAGATCGTGGCTTCGGGGACGCGAATGCGGTGCAATTTGCGAGGGATCGTGGCCTCAGGGACGCGAATACAGTGCAATCTATTGGGAGCGCGAATCTAAAGTAACTTCACGTGTCCCACGGCCCCGCAGGAATTCAGACAACGCGAGGTGGTAACCAGGCTCGTTTCGGCCCCCCCCTTCGCGCGGACTTGAGTGGAACATCCGTAGCTTTGGCTCAAGGCAGCTGCCCGCCTCGCCCGCCGCAGCCCCGCGTCTCGCCATGGGGCTTCCGCTTCCCCTGCTCGCGGTCCTTGCGCTGGCCGCCTCGCGGTGCCGTGCGGACAGCCAGTGCTCGGACGGGGGCGCCGAGCCTGAGGTGCACGACGTGGAGTCCGACGACGACGGCGCCTTTGCCCAGCTGCGCACTGCGCGCGCCTTTCCGGCGATGACTATGCCGCCTTGGCCGGGCTCCGCACCGAGCGGTTCCTCGGCCTGCACGGCCGCGGTGGGGGGTGTATGCTTCAGCGGCTCCATGTGCTGCGGCGACATGGGCCCAGGCGATACCGTCGCCTCTTCATGCAAGTGCTGCCCCAACGGGTGCCCAGGAAGCGACTCGACTGACGACGCCACCACCACGTCTCCGCCGCTCGACGACTCGGTGGACGGCGCCACCACCACGTCTCCGCCGCTGGACCCTTTCTCGGCAGGCGCGGGCGAGTGCACCGCCCCTGGCGCGATCGACCCGCAGGACATGATCAATGGCGGCGCCGCTAAGCTGAAGAAGGCGGGGAAGTGTGGGGCGGATGGCTGCACCTGCTCGACCGGATTGATATCTGTCGGCGGTTGCCGTACTTGCTCGGCCATGCGCTGAGGCCCGCGGCGACTTTTCCTCCAATCCAATGTTTTGTGCAGTTCCCAGCAGATCTGGCAAATCTTTGGCCACGCGCCCAATGTCACATTTCACGTGCATCGCTCGCGCTCGGGCAAGACAGTTCGTGTGCTAGCGCAGCGCGCTTTCAAGTGAGACGGACAATTTCCTACACAATGAAGAGAGTCCCTTCTTCGTCTCCACTTCCCTCCTTGCGTCTACTTGTGATTTTCCTTGCCTTAGATGCTGTGTGGCACTTCGTCGGAGGGGAGGCTCGACGTTGCCCCATCAGCCAGACTACTGCTGCTGTACCTCGCCTTGTCTTGTGCTCCTAAACAAGATAGAGCAGGAGTGGAACATTGGAAACTGGAAACTGGAAGTGGTGCAGGGAGCAGCAAGCCCAAGCCTCGCAGCCTGATGTCCCCACAAGGGGGCCGGCGGATCCCTGTCCTGACTTCGTCTCAACCTTTTTTAGCAACCCTCGAGCCTCGACCCCTCGATCCTCGATCCCTCGATCCTTGATCCCTCCATCCTCGACCCTCGATGCTCGATGCTCCTGGGCCGAGGGCATCGGCCTCGCCGGGGATCGATCCACGGAGGAGGAGCAGGAGGAGGAGGAACAGGAGGAGGAGGAGGAGGAGGAGGAGGAGGAGGAGGACGAGGAGCAGGAGGAGGAGGAGGAGGGGAGGGAAAAGGGGGAGGCGGAGGAGGAGGCGGAGGAGGAGGAGGAGGAGGATCAGGAGGAGGAGGAGGAGGAGGAGAGGGAGGGGAGGGAAAAGGGGGAGGCGGAGGAGGAGGAGGCGGAGAAGGAGGAGGAGGAGGAGGAGCAGTAGGAGGAGGAGGAGGAGGAGGAGGAGGAGGAGGAGGAAGAGGAGGAGGAGGAGGAGGAGGAGGAGGAGGAGGAGCAGGAGGAGCAGGAGGAGGAGGAGGAGGAGATTCACGTGCTCAACGGCGCACCCTCCAGAGGTGGGGCCGGGCGCGGCCCACCGGCGCGGCCGGGCCCAGGTGAGCCGCACACCGTGCACTAGCGGCCGCTCTCCTTACGCGCGCGCGCCTCGGCCGCCCCGTCGTCGTCGTCGTCGTCGTCGGCGGCGGCGGCGGCGGCGTCGTCGTCGGCGTGGTCGTCGTCGCGTTCGTCGTGGTCGTCGTGATCATCGTCGTCGTCGTCTTCGTCGTCGCGTTCATCGTCGTCGTCGTGGTCATCGTCGTGTTCGTCGTCGCGTTCGTCGTCGTCGTCTTCGTCCTGGTTGTCGTCGTCGTCGACGTTGTCGCCGTCGCCGTCGTCGTCGTCGTCGTTGCCGTCGCTGTCGTCGTCGCCATCGTCTCGCCTTCGCCGCCGAATACTCATCTTCAGGGAAAAGTTGTTGTTGATCTGTGTAGGCGGTTCCGGGCGCTCTTGCCCAGATGTATTTATTTTGGATCCGAGGTTCCCGCTCGAGCGCAGGCCTGGCTCCAACTGTGAGCCCCTGAGGTCCCGAGTCTACGACGACAACGGCTCCGGCTCGATACCTCCTCGCGGTCCATACACAGAAAGTGCATTGATGATTGTTTCTCTCAGGAGCTGGTATGAAAAGAAGCTTCCAACAAGAGGCTTGGTTCATAGGCTTGCGTAGCTGGCGGGTGCTAGAGAGAGGGCGAGCATAATGAAGGTGTTAGATAACATGTTCGCAAGGTAGCCGTCGTTGTTGTCATTGTCATCATTTGTCGTCGTCGTCGTCGTTTGTCGCCGTTGTGTGTTTGGCGTCCTTGCCGCCGTCGTCGCCGCCGCCACCGTCGTCGCCGTCGTCGTCGTCGTTGTTGGCGTCGTCGTCGGCGACGGCGTCGTCGTCGTCATTGTCGTCATCGTCGTCGTCGTCGACGCTTCGTTTCGGATGTTTTGAAGTTCTGAACCAACCGCAAGGACGGAATAAACAACGTTGACTGCGAGCCTTCCGATGTTGTTTTCATGTTTCTCCTCCCCCCTCCCCGCTTCGTCGACGCTTCGTCTCTCCCCCTTGCCTCGCTCTCCCCCTCACCGTCGTTGTCGTTGTCGTCGCCGTCGTCGTTGTGGTCCGTGTGAGCCGTTTGACTGTTCGACCGCCGCGCCACTGGTGATGAAACTTGTCTTACCATTATCTGCCAACGCACCTCTGTTCCCCTTCTCTTTCTTTCTGTCTTTCTTTCTTTCTCTCTCTCTCTCTCTGTCTCTCTCTCTCTCTCCCCCTCTCTTTCTCTCTTAAGATTTTCGTCGCCACGACCAGACGCGGCTTGAGAAACTGGCCCCTGGCGAACGATCTGGAGCCGACTGTGGTTGGATGAGGAGGGGGACGAAGAGGGGGTGAGGGAGAAAGAGGGGGAGAGAGAGAGAGAGATAGCAACAGTTCGGGCGGAATGTCCGTCCAGGCGCGCGGGAGCAGGCTTCTGTCGCGCCCACCTCTTGTGGCGGTGGGGAGACCACCCTCCCCCCTGGCGCGGTCAGTGGGGACTCCAACTGGAAACACACATATCAGGATGTGGTGACAAGGACGAGGCTTGCCCTTCTGCCCTTCCGCGGACAGGGGAACGCCCGCTATACACGCTTGGGCTTGCGTGATGCGGTGTCCAAGGCAACGGCGGCGCTATCTTGGGGCATCCCCCGCGGCGGCCCAAGAAGAGGGCAACGGAACTAGCGCCAGATGTTCGCGGAACCCATTGGTGAGAGAGGGGGCGCTAGCATTGGTGTGCTGCACTTTGAGCATTCAGGTATGCTTAGAGGCTTCATTGGAGGGACACTCCAGGAGAAACACTTGGGTCACTAGGTCGGAAAGATTGTTGATTACCGCCCCTGGAAATTCTTCACGCTTCGCGTATCCCCACCAGCCCATCTCAAAACAGCAACTCTTGCGAAGCATGCCGACAGTCGTGTTTTTCAGGCGTGTTTCCGCCTGCCCCCGCATATCTCCCCTGTTCCTCCTTCCTCCCGCCTCCTTGTACATCCTCCTTGTGGTGGGAGCGGGAGAAGGACGAGGCGGAGGAGGAGGGAGAGAAAGCGCTCCTCGTGGTTTGAGTCGTTTGGGGTTTCTCGTCCTGGTGTGAGTCGTTCGGGCCCTTCTTCCTGGTGTGAGTCGTTCGGGCTCTTCGTGGTGTGAGTCGTTCGGGCTCTTCGTCCTGGTGTGAGTCGTTCGGGCTTCTCGTGGTGTGAGTTGTTCGGGCCCCTCATCCTGGTGTGAGTCGTTCGGGCCCCTCCTCCTGGTGTGACTCGTTCGGGCTCCTCGTGGTGTGAGTCGTTCGGGGCCCGCGTCGTGGTGTGAGTCGTTCGGGCTCCTCGTGGTGTGAGTCGTTCGGGCGCCTCGTCCTGGTGTGAGTCGTTCGGGCCCCCCCTCCTGGTGTGAGTCGTTCGGGCTCTTCGTGGTGTGAGTCGTTCGGGCCCCTCGTCCTGGTGTGAGTCGTTCGGGCTCCTCGTGGCGTGAGGCGTTCGGGCACCTCGTCCTGGTGCAAGTCGTTCGTAGTAGTAGATGTCTTTTGGGAGCCTCTTGGATGCCTTTTGGGGCGTTTTGGGGGCCTCTTGGCGGCCCCAGGGGCTTCTAGGAGCGTCTTGGGTGCCTTGGGGGAGCCTCTTCGGGCCTCTTGGGAGCCTCTTGGAGGCCGTTTGGAGCGTCTTGGGGGCCTCTTGGCGGCCCCAGGGGCTTCCAGGAGCGTCTTGTGTGCCTCGGGGGAGCCTCTTGGGGCCTCTTGGGGGCCTCTTGGGGGCCTCTTGGGGGCCTCTTGGAGGCCTCTTGGGGCCTCTTGGGGCTCTTTGGGAGGGGTCTGGGAGGTATCTTGGGGCCATCTTTGGGGCGATCGATCACAGATGGGGCGAGCATTTTTGTCAGTCCCCCCGTCGGGGCCAGAATCCTCGTGAGGGGTGTCGTTTTTTAGCCCTCCCAGGAGTTGAAAAAGACCCCTCCAACCACCCGCGAAAGGACCTCTCCAGGTCCAGGGGGAGGGGGTAGGGGGAGGGGTAAACCCCTCCCCGAAGGGGAAGAAGGGGGGTTGAGAACAGAGAGAGCTCGCTAAACCACTCACGCCCAAAGGGCTGGTGGGATTCGGGTTCAGTGCAACCTGTCTAGCAGCGGGGTGCACCATTCCAGCATGTGTTAGGGAGATTGGGCTAGGTGATCGGGCCGCTGTTGAAGCGTGTTGATGCTGGCGACGAGGACCGTGTCGCGATCACCTTCTGGCTGCCGTCTTGCCGTTGAGAGGTGTTGCGTAAACGGGTTGCCTTCTGTCCCATCGCTGGGTCTCCGTCCCACCGGGGCCTGTTCCGTCATCGGTCATTGGCCGCTGACCGCTCCCCGACCTCGGCGGGAGGATGCGGAGGAGGAGGCGACCTGGTAGTGAGGGTGTTGGCGGCCTGATCCTGTCGGCCGTGGGCGGCTTGCACTTGCCCGTTGGAGAGTCTTGGTTGGCACACGTCGTGATGGTCGTCGCTGTCGGTATGGTTGTCTGTGCTGCGAGTCCTGTTCCTCGCCGTCAAAGTCGTCGAGTAGGTCCGTCCAAGGGTCATCGAGGTGATCGAAATCGTCGGGCCTCTGGGGGGCCGTTGGTATGAGAGGGGCCGCCTGGTGAGCCCGGTGGCTCGTGGCCGCCTTGGCCAAGGGTATCGAGTTGGGCTTCACCTTGCCGAGTGCAGCCTTTGAGCAACTCGCCCTCGTGTCTGGTATTGGAAGCGTCTTGTGACGCTGGTTGCAGACGGCGACAGTCGTGCTGTGGAGGACGGCCGCCAATGATGTCGCCATTTTGCCGCGCCGATGAGGCATGGTGATGCGCTGTGCAGGTGTGCGCCGGCCGAGGCAATGTCATCGGCTTCGCGGTTGAGTGCCTCCGCGGTCGGCGCGACACGCCCCTCGCCGATGCCTTGCTCACCCATGTGGGCGGATATTTTTCCAACGTTTGGCCTGGGCCCCCACGCGCTGTGGTTGTTGACCTTTGAGGACGTTTCGGGATCCGTCAACAACAGTTTGGTTGCCAATGAAAATGTGAACGTCCCGTTCATCAATGGCGCATGGCTAGAGTCTCTCTCAGCTCGCTGAGCGGATTTGCAAGACGGCGCGGGATGAGAGGTCTTGGCAGTGATCTAGTTCATAGCGAATTCCAAAACAAGCCCTGGCGAGGAGCGGGTGGGCCTGGTGCGAAAAGGTTAGCTCTTTTCGAGGAGGCAAAGGCGTGCCAGACTTTGCCCGCTTGGCCTGCTCCCTGGAAAGGTCGCGCATGATTGCTCGGCTTTGGCGTTGAGGTTGCTGCCTCGCCGAGCGCGCCTTCTCGGCCCGAGCCGGGCGCCCCCGCGCGCGGCGGCGCCGATGTCGATTGCGCGCCCAGGAAGGACGAGAGCGTGGAGGGCGAGATCCAGGGTCTTCCTTTGAACGCGCTGACAGCGCGCTCCATCTTTGCGCGAAGGTCGATTGCGCGATGCCCGGCGCTTCGGCGTCAGCGACGGTGCCGCGCATGCCGGCAGCAAGGGATCTTATTGACGGGGCCCCTGTTCGGTGATTTCGGCGGGCCGCCCGTTGCGCGACAGTCTGGCGGCGGCCCGTCGCGCCCCGGAGTCGGCGGCGGCCTCGGGATTCAAGCGGGCGTCGTCCGCCGCGGGCGCTGCGCTGATGCAGCTCCCCCTTCGCCCATGGCCGGGCCGACCAGTCCGCCGGGGTGGATTTTCCAGCCATCGATCGGACGGTCTCGTCGAGTGACGCGCGGCGCTCTCTGGCTGCGGGGGCCGCGGGGTCGCTGTCGTCGGCGAGCGCTGTGCTCGACGAGCGAGGCGAGCGCTGGCGCCGTCGCCCAGCCCGCGCGCGCGCGAGGAGCTTGATGTCGCCGAGGTGGGGGCTGCGTTGGAGGTGCCCGTTGGCGCGCGCCAGGGGTCTGGAGCGGGCTCCGCCCCTGCGAACATATCTTTGGTGGTCGTCGAAGAAGCGCTCCCCGACTTGCTCGACGTCGGGCGGGCGCCCAGCGCGCGGCTCGAGGTTGAGGCAGATGTCCGCGACGAGGTGGTCGAAGCGTTGATGTTAGTCCAGCGCGGCCCCTGCCAGAGGGG